ACAGAGGTGAAAAAAAAGAAACTTGGGGTAATCAGTTAAAAAAATTATGACAATAATACACACTCATACAAGAAATTGAAATGCAGAATAAGTGCCGAGTAGTTTAGGCTGGGGTTTCTGGAAAGTAATTAACACAATGTCCTAACAGGCACCCAGGAGATTTGGTTTGGTCCTCTGCACATAGTGTGACCCATTAATTATAACTATAAAAAATTAATTAATAATAGTGATAATATTATTGCACTTTATTTAGTTTTTCAAAATAAAATAAACAAAATAATAAAGTGTGATAATAATTTTTTTTATAAAAAGGGAGTATTAAATACAAATACAATTATTTTATAGTAAACTTAAAAATAAAATGCTAATATTTACTTATTTTTTATATATGAATTTATAATTTTCAACCTTAAAATCAGCAGGCTTTTATTTTGGCGGGTTGCCGGCAAGTAAGTATATGCGCTTCCGGTTTTAGCGCACCGATTGAAGAGCATCAGTGAATGAAATGTCACAGTTTTGCATTGTGCTTTGAAAACTGCTACGGGTAGCCTAGATTTATGCTTTTGAATAGAAATCTTATACAGTACAGTTTGTCGATCTAAATTAATTGTACATTAACAGCTGTCACCCATGTCGGTACGCAAGTGCGCTGTCAGAACTTATTTATACAGTGCATTTTTTATTTTGGTCGCGCATGGACCTGCGGACCACTTATGTGCACCCCTGTATATACATATAATAAACAAAATATGATTTGAAAGTTTGGGGTTTGTAAGATTTTTTAAAAATGTTTTTGAATGAAATATAACCAAGGCTGTATTTATTTGAGTAAAAACAGTAATATTGTGAAATATTATAACATTTTAAAATAGCTGTTTTTTTTAAAATACATTCTAAAATGTAATTTATTCCTGTGATGCAAAGCTGAATTTTCAGCAGCCATTACTTAAGTCTTCAGTGTAACATGATCCTTCAAAAACCATTCTAATATGGTGATCAGGTCCTCAAGAAATAGTTCTTACCATTATTAAGGTTGAAAATAATAAAAAAAATCTTCACTGTAACTTTTGAATTTAATTTAATGCACTCAATTAATAGTTAAATAAGAGTATTAATTTATTTCATAAGTCATACCCCGAAGTTTAGTGTAAGGGTAGTGTAATAAAATTATCTAAAACACATTATAACAATGCGTAAAATTATAATAAAATTATAAACACGTGAATATTTGAAAATGTTCTATTTGAATAATTCATTCAAAGAAATGTCATTTGTTCATAAATTAAGCTGCACTGGTTGCGCTGTATGTTACTGCATGCAACCTGTGAAGTCACCTGAAAGAAAGATCTATTAGTTTACTGCACACACTTTCATCTCATCGCCTTCAATTCAGACTGTAAACTAGGGTAAGCTATGAGTTAATTAAACTGCCTTTAGTGGCTATTTCTTTGTTGTGGAACTTGAACTTAGACCACAGGGAAGACATAAAACATTTCAAACATCCAAAGTCAAAAAGCAAAAGCAAGTCAATGCTGCCAGTTACTGCCTATAAACCTTCCAGGATCTCACACATGAACAATACCAGCTTCCACTACAGCATATGCTGCTTTTATCAGCTGATCTCATTTCACACTCAGCCTTCAAATCCATTACAGGGACCGGTAAGATTGCTGAGAAAACAGAGCTCAGAAATAATATTGCAATAATATTTAATATTGAAAATAGGAAAATGACTGCTTTCCTTCAAGGCTCAGTGGCCTTCTGTGGCATGCTTTTAGCGTTGTGTTAACAACTGAACTCTCTCACCCCACACTCAAAACACAGCTGATGCCAGGATGATAATGTTGCGTGAGCAATGACGCGAGTCTGCCAAACCAAACAAAAGATCTGACACATTTGATGTACTTTGGCCCAAAGCAGAGTGAGCTAAGACATCATAACAACAGGCTGAGGTCGTCCTGCAACCTACTTTGTAAAAAAGCAACAGCTGTTATTTTGCGATGCTACACTCTTAAAAATAAAGGTGCTTCACGATGCCATAGAAGAACTTTTTTGTCTAAATGGTTCCATAAAGAACCTTCAACATCTGAAGAACCTTTCTGTTTCACAAAAGTTTCTTTGTGGCGAAATAAGGTTCTTCAGATTACAAAAACGCAAGAAAGAGATGGTTCTTTAAAGAACCTTTGACTGAATGGTTCTTTGTGGAACCAAAAATGGTTCTTCTATGGCATCGCTTGAAAAACCTTTTGAAGCACCTTTATTTTTAAGAGTGTATGGTAAACTCTACATTTCTCCTGAATACAAATCTTAAAGATTTACTTTTCAGGACATCTACACTTGAGTTTCTACAAACAAGTGACATCCTTTTATCGCTCTGTGCTCTGTCTCTAAAAAAAGCCTCCACTATTGTCCATCATTATTGTCCAAGTTAGCAGTTTTTAACTGGTTCTGTTTGAGGGCCCAGATTTAACATTAGACACTGAGTGAACCAATACAGTTTTTTTCTCCCCTTAAACAAAAGTAAACAAAAAATGTCTTAAAAACCAAACAATTCATATAAATAGATTTAAGTATAAATAAACAATTATAAACTAAATGATAAATAATAATAATAATAATAATAATAATCTCAGCAGATAACAATTTACAGGAAAAACATGTTTGTCCTCAATGCAAGTTAAATCATATTTTCTTGTTCATTACATAATTCGGTTTATGGTTTTTAAGGATGAATGCATGTTACACAATACAACACATACAAGTAATGTAACTAATTTCTACCATCAGACCAGACTTTGGGGTCACAACCCTCCACCTGAGAACCAGTGGTCAAGATACAGTTCCTGGTTTCAGTCTGGCTACAACATTTCTAGAAAGATGTATGCGTGAAGCTGTAAAATGTTAACCATTTCATAATATCTTTGTTTCCATCTATTTAACACAATAATTTTTAATTTCTACTTCTGTTTTATGGGTTGTCATTTCTACCAATTCATTAGTTGGTGGCTAAAAAGTGCAACGATGGTGTCACTTTGGCACCACTTAGATTTAATTTATAATTTATAATAAAGTTAGTTTTTTTTTAAATAATAGAACATCTTCCTCATTCTTAGCAACTTTGGAGAACACTGCATCCTTCAGAGGAGTTGCAAGTTGCAAAGTTTCTTAACAATGACATCTAATTATTAAACACAATAGAAAAACGTGCTGGCATTAGACAGACAACTAAAAAGCCTAGGCGCCTCATGGCCTCTGGCGCATTGAGTTTGATGCTCTATGGATTAAGGATTCAGACAACAGTATTCAGTACAAAGAAAATGATCAATCCATCTGCATTTATTATCAAGAATGGCTCAAGGATCTTCAGCAAATTTACTAAATGTTTTAGTAGGTCAGAACTCAGTTTCAAAATTTATATAACAGTATATATTGTGATTTTCAATGAAAACATGCCCACGGTTTTCTTGCAATACATATTTGCTTTTATTCAAAGAAAACATATCTGACCACTAACCAAGAGTGTTTGTGTCCATAAAATAATGCTCATAAAGTTATGAAACTCATAAAGTTAAGGCGATAAATATGTGTAATTATCTAAGTGCAAGAACAAGTACCTAAGACTCAATGATTTAGAGTGCAAACACGCTTTTCATATGTAGTGTTGTGTAACAGTTACTTACAAACTGTGCCAAAGGGTGCAATGAAAAGAAACCATATTAGTGGGTTATGGGATTTTCATACTGCTGTTTGTTGCCAAACAGAACTTCCCAGCTGTGAATTTCCAGTATCAAAGAATTGGAGTGAGTGATATGTCTGGTGAGCCTTTATCGCAAAACAAACAGTGGTTTAAAGGGGTCATATGATGTTGCCAAAAAGAACATTATTTTGTGTATTTGGTGTAATGAAATGTGTTTATGCGGTTTAAGGTAAAAAAAAACACATTATTTTCCACATACTGTACATTATTGTTTCTCCTCTATGCCCTGCCTTTCTGAAACGCGTCGATTTTTACAAAGCTCATCGGTCTGAAAAGCGAGGTGTGCTTTGATTGGCCAGCTATCCAGTGCGTTGTGATTGGCCAAATACCTCAAGCGTGTGACGGAAATGTTACGCCCCTTACCATACTGTGATGCCGTGTCCCAGCACGACGAGACAAAACCAATAAAACCCATTATAAACGAGGCATTTGTTGCATCCAGTGGGGACATAATTACGGATAATGAGTTATACTGTCTTTTTATGCGCTATGTTGCATCGCGCCGTGTAAACATAAAACCATGTCTGCATTTGTGATCGGAGAAAGGACAAACAACAAGCGCTACTCTACACTGCTCAAAACATCGTGTTTGAATCATCAGTGGCAAATTCTTTAAATATGAAAATATGTACTTACAGGCTGAGAGTCAGCATTATTTGTCAGAACACCGGCATTGAAGTCTACTCTTCCAGGATCAGGAAACAGTCCTCCATAAAATGCACTGCACACATCTGAATATCTGGGTTGAACTGTTCTGGAACAGTGTTGTAAATGCAACTTAACCACTGATTTCTAGTCGTGTCCTCATTTGGAAGGCCAAACAAAGTAGTTTCGCTTTCGCAATGAAACACACAGCGTCTTCACAACATGGTGGCAGCAACAATAAAGTTACGCCTTCTTTCTTTGCGTGAACATTTGGGCGGAGTTATGCAAATCTTCCCCCATCGTGACGTAGACATGTGGGGGCATGTTTAAACAAAGTATTTTAGGAGGGCGTGGACGAGTCTTCATTTTTATAAAGAATATCTCTTTGGGTTTGAGACTTTAGTCTTTGCAACTTCAGGGATCTTATCTATTCACGAACAGCTCGTAACACTCCAAAGAGAAAGGAAAACTTGAAATCACATCATATGACCCCTTTAATATGTGAAAAAACAGCTCATCTCTACATCTTCTGCTGGAAAAGGGAGCTACCCATCAGCACAGCTGTCAACAGCTGGGTGGGAGAATGATTTCATGGACTGTCCGCTGTTCCCCTCTGGACATAAAAAGAAAAAAATAGCTTTTATTTAAAAAATATTTAAATGGCAAACACAAAAGATGCAACAATATGATTAATAAATATAATCCAAATCTGTGTTAAAGTGTAAAGTGTGTTCAAAAAAGCCTCATTGAAATGTGTCAATAATGCTATTACTAGTATGAACACAGCTTATGTTTAATAGCACAAATTAACAATTTATATACTATTTTAAAAGTTAGATTTAAAGGTTTAAAAGACAGACAAACTAACTATACAGACCTGGACGGCAATACTGTGGTGTCTTGATGTTGTTCTGTACACAATTTAAATCTAGCTTTTAGATGTTAAACTAAAATATATGAAGAGTTTGGTTCCAAAACGCGATAAACGGCATTTTAAAAAAAAAAGGAGTTTCCGCCAAAATCTGTATTGTATCTGGTCCATATTGAAAGGTCCATTTTAAATTTTTACGCAAAATGCGATATCCGCCGAGTTATTCTGTCATCTTTTTTTCCAAACCGCTTTGAATACACCCAGCTTCCTAGTTCCCATTCAGTCAGTCACGTTCAACGTTACGTCAGTGACTGACGAATTGGGATCTCGCCCGAGAGCCCAATCACCTTCGAGTTTTAACTAAACAAGCCAATGATAGTTGGCGTGCGTGTTTCGCCACGCACACCCCGCCCCGCAGCGCGGGTATAAAAGGAGAGCGCGTGCAAGAGAGAGAGAGAGTTGCGTGAATGCGCGTCTGTGCATTTCTCTTTTTAGAGTGAGTTTACTAAAAAAAAAACAGCGATTTTATTAAAATATAATGTAGTGATGTAATGTAGTGATTCAGTATTTAAATTGTTATTAATAAAAGTCGTGGGGCAGCGTTGACAAGTTTCTTTGCTCCTGGATGTGTGAGCTGCACGATATCTAATGTGTGTGTGTGTGTGTGTGTGTGTATGTGTGTGTCAGTAAGCAATACACAGAGCCATAGATCACTGCTATATCACTTTGATAATCGCAGATGAATCGCATTCGATTATGAAGCGTAGCTTGTCAGTGTAAGTGTTTTTATTTATGCCATTAATGTTTTTGTTAATACAGCGTATAGCACTAGTCAACTAAATGAATGTAACATGGCAAAGATGAATGCACTTTTGGAAGTTGAATGTAAGGGAAATGTCATTTTGGAATTTCTGTGGTTTAATGTGATATTGTTGTTCATGTATGTTCATGATTACATTTTCTTTTATTGTTGTAATTAATTTATAGCATTAACAAGATGACCCGTTGAATTCATTTTGGGAGCGATGACTGATTGAATGTATTTTTAGTCCAGTGCCTGTATATTAGATTAGTATTGACCAAGTTTAGAGGCTGTCATATGTGGATCAACTTACTATGTTGTGTATTTTCAACAGTTTCAATATGAAAAATAACTTTTATATTGATTCAATGGATTTATTGCATT